AAATAACTAGAAGAGAACAAAGATCCTATAATTCCTGGAATGTGGTAAATTATAGTAATCTTTAAGTAAAATAGATATGCCAAAAAGCTTCAAAAAATAAAAATTCTTGCATAAATGTAAAGAAGCTGAAAGGCTAAAATATCAAGTCTGATCCATGCCACAGTTCAAAGAGGTATTAAAGTCTGGATAGTAGCCAAGACAAAAGAGAAACATTTGAAGAATTTTATCTTGAAAAGATAATCATACAAATGTTTACCATAATAGTAACCATAATATCAATATCTACTGTGGTACAATGGTCAAAAAAGTAAGTCCTTAAGAAAAGTTCGTAAGATCAAAGCATTCAAAGTGCTTCTCATGCAAAACTCCTTTCAGTACATATGATATATTTGACAAATGGATTAAAGGAGAAATAATTTAAAATTGTAAATATGAGTAGCACACATCTTCTAGCTGTAAACTGTCTCCTTCCCCAACAAAGAAATTCAATCTGAAAATTATTCATTAAAATTATTTACTTTAGAAGATGTCAGCACAAGTTAAAAAAAGGGTTTTACTAATGATAAATGTATCATCTCTCCTTGGTACTGTTGTTCCTTTCCATTCCCTTCATCCATCCTTATGTCGTAGCTTACCATCCAAGCCCACCAGCAGCAGTCAAAGCTTGGGCCATGAACTTGTACCTGTCCATACACTGTTACCAATCAGGGAAGAGGTAAGTACAAAAAAAGTAAGTGTTTAGAAATTTCAATAGCAATTTCACAGAGTGATTTCATGTCTGTTGAATCTAAGAATAAAATATATGGAAAAAATAAAAATTAAAAACATGGGTTTACATATTTTTTAAATTAAGTATTACTGTGGTATAATTTTTTTTTTAAAGATTTTATTTATTTATTTGACAGAGAGAGACACAGCGAGAGAGGAAACACAAGCAGAGGGAGTGGGAGAGGGAGAAGCAGGCTTCCCGCCGAGCAGGGAGCCTGATGCAGGGCTCAATCCCAGGACCCTGAGATCATGACCTAAGCCGAAGACAGACGCTTAACGACTGAGCCACCCAGGCGCCCTTACTGTGGTATAATTTACATACAGTAAAATCCAACTTTTTTAGGTGCCCCTCTGCAGTCAATCTCTTCTCCTAATGGCCAATCCTTGGCAACCATTGATTTGATTTCACTTCTTACAATTTTGCCTTTTCTAGAATATGATATAAATGGAATCATAAACTAAGTAGTTTTGTGCCTGGCATCTTTTATTTCACATAGCGCTTTTAAGATTCAAGCATGTTGCTGCATGTATCAATAGTTTGTTCTTTTATCTTTCTAGTAGTATTCTATTGTATGAATTTATCAAAATATTTATCCATTCACCAGTTGATGGATTTCTGGGTTATTTTCAATCTTGGGTGATTATGACTGAAGCTGCTATAAGCATTTATGTGTAAGTCATTTTTTGTAAATAAATATCCAAGTGTTCTAGCACCATTTTTAAAAAATGACTATCCTTTTTTTATTGAATTATCTTGGCATTGTTCTTGAAAATCAACTAACTTTATACCTGTCAGTCTATTTCTGGACCGTATTCTCTTCCATTGATCTATGTCTATCTTTACACCAATGCTATGCTACCTTGATTATTGCAGCTTTATAGTAAATCTTGAAATAAGTAAGTTCTACAGATTTGTTCTTTCTCAAAATTGTTTTGGCTATTCTAGTTCCTGTGCTTTTCCATATAAAATTTAAAATCAGCTTGTCGATTTCTGCAAAAAGCTTGCTGGGATTTTAATTGAAATTGTACAGATTCTATAGGTCGCTTTGAGGAAAACATATTTTAACAACACTGTCTTCTGATGAATAAAACTTGGTATATATCTCTATTTACTTAGGTCTTCTTTAATTTCTTTCACCAATGTTCTGCAGTTTTCATTGTAAAAATCTAGAATGTATTTTGCTAGATTTATCCCTAAACATTTCATATTTGTGGATACTATTTTAAGTGGGTAGATACTTCAGTTTCTAACTGTTCATTGGTAGCACAGAGAAATACAATTAATTTTTATACACCAATCTGTGACTTTTTAAAACTCATTTATTAGTTCTAATACCTTTTTTATTGATTCTTTTTTTAACACTTTATTTATTTATTTGACAGAGAGAGACAAAGCGAGAGAGGGAACACAAGAAGGGGGAGTGGGAGAGGACCCCGGGATCATGACCTGAGCTGAAGGCAGACACCCAACGACTGAGCCACCCAGGTGACCCCTTTTCTCATTTATTCTTTTGAGATCTTCTATGGAGACAATCATGTCATATAGACAGTTTAACTTCTTCCTTTCCAAACTGAATGTCTTTTATTTCTTTTTCTTGCATTACTAAACTGACTAGGACTTCCACTACAATACTGGCCAGAAATAGTAAGACTGGACATCCTTGACTTGCTCCCAATCTTAAATGGAAAATATTTCACTTCATCATAAAGTATGAAATGTTTCTTTTAAGTTTTCCATAGATGACATTTAAACAGGCAGATGGACTTCTCTTCCTATTTGCTGAGAATGTTTATCATTATTGGGTATTTAATTTTGTCCGATATGTTTTCTGCATCTATAGGGATGTTTTCTCTTTTATTCTGTTAATATTGTGAATTCACATTGATTGATTTTCAAATACTACATCAACTTTGCATTCCTGGATGATCCCCACTTGGTTATAATATATAATCTTTTTAATATACTGCTGGATTTAATTTACTAAAGTATTATTAAGAATTCTCATGTCATGGGGCACCTGGCTGGCTTAGTCGATAGAGCATGTACTCTTGATCTCAGGAGTGTGAGTTCAAGCCCCACATTGGGTATGGAGCCTACCTTAAAAAAAAAAAACAGAAAAGAGTTTTCATGTCTTATGTTCATGGGGGATATCATTCTGTAGTTTTATTTTCTTGTAATGTCTTGGTCAGGTTTTGGTGTTTCCATGGAATATTTTTTCCCCATCCTTTTAACTTACCTATGCGTTTGAATTTAAAGTCAGTTTCTTGAAGGCAGCATTTAGTTGGGTCTTGCTTTTCTATCCAATCTGACAGTCACTGCCTTTTAATTGTTTACATGATTATTAATATAATCATTGATATGACTGAATTTGTATCTACCATCTTGCTAATTGCATTCTATTTGTCCCATCTATTCTTTGTTCCCTTTTTCTTCTCTTCCTGCATTCTTTTATTTTTTATGATTCCATTTTACCTCTACCACTGGTTTATTAGTTACACCTCTTTTATTTTCTAGTGGTTGTTCTAGAGTTTACATCTTACAGTCTACCTTCAAATAATATTATACCACTTCATGTATAGCATAAGGCCATTAGTGTCTGTAAGGCCATGACAGTTGATCTGGGCATTGGCATTGTTGTTATCTTTACCCTCAGTGCACCAGACATTTTGAATTCTTTCATTGTTGAGCTGCGTTACTTTGTGCATCTAGATGGGGGTTGTAGCGCAGTGCTGGAAGATCATTCTCAGTGTTCCTACTCTACCTTCAGCCTTCAGCAGTCACCACAGTGGGGTCTCTTTCCATATTACTGCACCTTCCCCACTGACAGACTGCTTGTTACTAGGTGTTAGGCTTATTTGGGGGCCAGGTTGGTTTTTGGTCTCCTGGTCTGAGACAGGGTCTATGAGCCTGATTTTGGATGGGATGGGCTAGAAAGCCGTAAGCCTTCTGTCCCTCCCACCTGGTGGCAGCAGAACCCTGCCATGTATCTGTGGTGGTCCTTGGGTGGGAGGAGTTGTTCTGTCCCTTTCCCGATGGTACAGACCTCTGTTTTGCCTTGGTTCAGGATTCTGGACCTGAAGAGTGTTTCCAGCCCTTCCCTCAGGAGAAGAAGGCTTTTGCTCCTACCCTTCTCCCGTAAGGACCATTTTGTCTAGCTCCTGCGGGAGGGAAGGAAGATGCCCTAATCTAACCTCTTCCTGAAGTAGAAAGGTTTTGAGTTTTTTTTTTTTTTTTGCCTCTACTCTTCTGCCAAAAGCCCATGGGTTGGAGACCTAGCACAGTACCTGGTATATAGCAGGCTCTTCATGAATATACACTGAGTCATTGTATATTGAATGAAATGAATAGATCTGGTCATTGTTCTACCTAGCTTTTTCTTGCATTTTTTTTCCTACGGGCTCTATCCTCTCACCCACCCACAGCCCCCTTTTTCTTTCCAAGTGTGTATAATTAGATCTCACAGACTCTATATACACCAGCATCCCTATTCATGCCCACTACTGTTTGAAGACTCTGCTGGCAGCCCTATCTGCCTGATCAACTGGCCTCACACCTATAATAGTAGCATTAGGGCTGAGATAGTTCTAGCTCTGTCCTTTGGATGATCCGGCAGACCACTTGGTGGTCAGCCTTTGTAGCCAGATAAGTTTCTCATAACCACCTCAGGGCCTGGGTGAATGGATTTCTATCTGACTTGCCCATTTTTCCTCCTCAGTGGTTATATGTTGCAAGTGACTCACATATCTCAACCCCTACACCTCCTTGAGTCACAATAGGTACTTTATTTTACTAATACATTTTATTATTTAGTTTTCCACATGCTGTGATCAACCTTCTATTAGGATAGATAGGGAGAATGCCACTGAAAGCAGAAATCATGTTATTTCTTTTTGAATCTTTACAAATTCCTAACATAGTAAGTAGATATACATTATTGAATGACAGAATATGTTGGATCCTACATTGAAAGAAAGCTCTTCATAAGTCCCCTCCCTGAATTAAGTCAACTTACATTTATACTTTAGTTTTTCCTTTCTTTGTCCCAACAACTCATTTTTACTTCCTCATACACCTCCATGGGGATGCTAATGTGTGTCTTGATGAATGTAACTGATAATCCCTGATTAAGACCAAACATACCCTGCAGTTCAATAAGTTTCATCTTTTTCCATAATCACTTTGTTAACTAATCTCATTATTCCCGTAGATTTTAAAGAAAAGAAACTCTTACCCAGCCTTAGCAACACTTATGGTTTGTTGCTCCATTGCCTCATGGATACTGGTTCTATCATGCTCTTTGAGGCTGTTAAACTCATCGATACAGCAAAGGCCCGCATCTGCAAGTACTAATGCGCCAGCCTCCAAATTCCATTCTCCTGAGTCTTTCACAGCAGTTACCGTCAGACCTAAGGAAACAAGCAAGCTATGTCAGCTTTATTTTCAAAAGCATATCTTATACCTATAAGGGGAAAGTACCTACATTTTAAATGGAAAAGAGTCAATGCTTTTATTTCTAATCTGTCAAGAATGAATGGCATCAGACAGAGAACTGGTGGTTCCCAAGAGGAGGAGGAATGGGAGGAAAGGCAAAATAAGAGAAGGGAATTAAGAGGTACAAACTTACAAATGAATCATAGGGATGTAAAGTACAGCATAGAGAATATAGTCAATAATATTGTAATAACTTTGTATGGTGACAGATGGTAACCAGACTGATCATGGTGAGCATTTCATAATGTATATAAATGTTGAATCACTATGCTGTATATCTGAAATGAATATAATATTGTATGTCAACTACACTTCAATAAAAAAAAAGTGGATGGCATCAGAACAACTATTTCTGGTGTCCAGGCACTGGAAGGCCTCAGAAGATCCTATGTTCTGAAAATATAAGATGTGTTATTGAGTATTTTATAGCAACCAGAAGTCTCCAAATTTTCTCTTTCCTTGGTAGGTACCCTCACTGAACAGAAGGAGCAAATAGATCTCTAGAGATCTTCTGACAAGAGGTTCTGTATTATATGCTGTTTATAGAGAGGGGTCCAAAGACAGAAAACAGTAGATATTAGAGACCAATGATGAAAATGAAAAGTTTGCTCCTAGTCACAGCGAGAGAAAGAAGACTCTAATATGTCTTTCCTGGTTTTGATTCATCCTTTATACCAGAGTGGTTAAAAGCAAAGGCTTTGGGGGCACCTGGCGAGCTCCATCAGTTAAGAATCTGACTCTTGGTGTCAGTCCAAGTCATGATCTTGGGGTCATGAGATTGAGCCCCGCGGTGGGCTGGCACTCAGTGCAGAGTCTATTTGAGATTCTTTCCCTCTCCCTTCCCCCCTGGCCCTCTCCCAACTTGCGCACGTGCATGCTCTCTAAAATAAACAAATAAATAAATAAAAAGGCAAAGGCTTTGGAGTCACACATACTTGGATCCTGAATCCTCGATCTGTCATTCTGGTTGTCATATATAGGCAAGTTTCCTAATATGTTCTGGCCTCTGTTTATTCATTTATAAAAGGGGATAACAATGGAATGTATCTTATAGAGTCTTGGATGTTCAAACAGAATATAATAAAGCTCTTTAAAAGGTATATGACACATAATGAGTACTTATAATAACTATTGATAAAAATCGATAAGCTAGGCTGACCAAGAAAAAAAGAGGAGAAACAAATTACAAATATCAGGAATGAAAGGGGGATATCACTATAAACCCTACAGATACTTAATAATAGTAAGTAAATACAATGAACAACTCTATGTCCTAAGTTTGATAACTTAGATGAAATGGTCAAATTCTTTGAGATATATAAACTGTGAAGTTTATCTAAAAAGGAATCAATAGCTTGCATACTCCTATATCTATTTTGAAATTTGGCTATGTAGTTAAAAATCCTGCAACACAAAAATCTACAGACTAAGATGACTTCATGGTGAATTCTACCAAACATTTATGAAAGAGATAATACCAGTTCTACACAAAATTTTCAAAAATACAGAAAAACAAGGAATACTTCCCAACTCATTTAGTATAGCCAGCATTATTAAGATACCAAAGCCAGATAAAAGATCTATCAAAGGAAAACTAAAGACCAGTATCTCTCATAAACATAGATGCAAAAATCCTCAAAAAATACAAGCATCTCAAACAATACATAAAATAATAGATTATAACCAAGTAGGGTTTATCTTGGGAGTGCAAGGCTAATTCAACATTCAAAAACTAACCAATATAATTCACCATATCAATAAACTAAGGAAGAAAAAGCAAATGACCATCTCAGTATATTCAGAAAAACACCTGACAAAACTCAACAATTATTCAGGATAAAAAAAGTCTCTGAGAAAGCCAGGAAGAGAGGGAACTTCGTCAGTCTTACAAAGGGTATTTACAAAAATCATGACATATTTAATCATAAAAGACTGAATGCTTACCCCACCCTCATCCCCAAGATCAGGACAAGGCAAGAAAATTAGCTCTCATCATTCTTATTCAAAATCTTGGTGGAGGTTCTATCCAGTAAAATAAAGGAAAAGAAATTAACCATCAGATCAAAAAGGAAAAATAACACTTTATATTTTCAGACAATATGATTGTGTATAAAATTCCAAGTAATGGGGCGCCTGGGTGGCTCAGATGGTTAAGCGTCTGCCTTTGGCTCAGGTCATGATCCCAGAGTCCTGGGATCGGGTCCCGCATCGGGCTCCCTGCTCCTTGGGAGCCTGCTTCTCCCTCTGCCTC